TTGTTTCGTTAATTAATTAATTTTATTGACATTCAAGAGTTCCATGGAAATTGTTAAAACTTGCATATAATTCACAAATAAGTTGATATTATGTTTAATCCTTTGGATTCATATGTATCATATTAGTTTACATATAACCAAAAGGTAATTTGAACAACAACAAAAAAATGAATATATGCATTTCCATTCAGTTTTCAGTTTCTCTCCCCCCCACTACCCTCTATACCATAAATGCTATAGGCTTTGTACAACAAGTTCTCATTTAATATGTGATATCATTATTGTTATTATCAATATTTATTATTAACATAATGAAATGTTTTATAAGACGTATTTATCTTTTATTCTATAATCAGAAGGGGTTTGTGGAGATTTTAGAAATTTCACAGATTGAAATCATGAGTCAGTTGAAGCTAGACTACCATGGAAAACCTGGAAGCACTGGACGACCGTTTCGTCCTAGTGTGGGACTCCTCAGTAGTTCGCATCCACGAAACCGCACCTCGCGGGATTCGAACCCAGGAACTACTTGTTTCGCACGCGGGGTGCGGGATCGTGGATGTGCACTGCTGTTGAGTCCCATACAAAGACGAAACAGCCGTCCAGTGCATTCGGGTTTTCCATTGTGGTCTAGCTTCAACTGACTCATGATTTCAATCTGTGAAATTTTATTCTGTAATTCATGAGGAATCTAGCCACTGTAAAGCGTTTATGAAATAAAGCAATGTATTAAAGAAAAAAAGAACTTAGAAGGTGGGAAAATATAATCTGAATGAATCGATTATTTATCTATTAAGCTTTCTTTGAAACCGACATCTTTACGTATAATCTTTGAAGTAATCCTTAGTGTTCACCAGTCAATAATACAATACTAGAAGGAAGTGGGTTTGTTTTATAATCTTGGGTAATATTTAGTTCGTCAGTTTATCATTCCGTGACATGAAGATCTTAAATGTTACTGATCTATGCGCAAAAATAACAAAAAACAACAACAACAGATGATTTGTCTAAAATAGGATACTTCTGTTTCTAACACAAACCTTAACTTGTTAGTGATATGATGGAATGAAAGGATAAAATTATATTATTTTATTCATTGTAATTTTCATTCAACATCACTTCTGTTGTTCAGGGTATTTTATTCGGTATAACGTTAATTTATTTTAATATGATGCTCAGCATGACATGTAGTATGTAATTTGTCATAACTTTGGATATTTACTATATATGTTATTTCATCCTAGTTAGAAATCAAAATGGATGTGCAATCGATATATATGGATGAGTGTATTTTCTACTAGGGTCATGTTTTGGTCTTAATAAATCTTCACTTATATCAGTCTTGGTGTTCTTACTTCAAGTCGCTGGGATTGCAGCGGTTCCTCATTCTTTCAAGTATAAAAATAAGTGACGCGGATATGGTACTGAGATGCAAAGGGCGTTTACTGTGTCAATTTAAAATCGATGGACAAATGTTTTCCGTTATATTAATATAGAAATTAGGTACAAAAACATTACAAATGATTGATCACTGGGTGGCGATCTATGTCATGTATGTCAAGTCCTTCTTAATGCAGATCGAATGCTATCGACCAAGTTGAAATGTGGTCACTGGTTTAGGAACTTGACATTGCGTGCACTATGTTGAAATAAAATGGTGATTGGAGGTAGTCAATAGGAAAGCCTGGACCCAGGTTTCCTGCTATTTGGCACTCTTCAGCAAGGTGTACCTGTGATCTTGAGGGAACTGGTGCTCCCTGACAGTTTCGATCCCGTATCACCCAGCTTCCTGGTCAGAGACGTTACCACTGAGCTATCCAGGCTGAGATGTAATCACAATTGATTAATCACTGGGTGGTGATCAATTTCATGTGTGTCAAGGCGCTTCAAGTGCAGATAGAATGCTATCGACCAAGACATTCGATAACCGACGTAACACCCAATAGATTGATCAATAGCACGATTTTAGTCAATAATCAAACTGAGAACTAAGAACACAAAATGTGTAAACAATTAGAAATAAATAAGTGTTCAATGGACACAAAATAAATGAAAACAAGTATTGAAAATGTTAGAACGGTTGGTTTCCCACGTTTACACTTATAGGACGTTAATTTACCTTATTCGAATATCTACATAAAATTCCCTCCCAGTGTCTATTTTACAGGATGTCAACATAACTCAGATCAAGAACACGTGATTAGCCTGACCACAACGTAAATATATTTCACAAGTTGAAATCATGAGTCAGTTGAAGCTAGACCACCACTGAAAACCTGGAAGCACTGGACGGCCGTTTCGTCCTAGTATGGGACTCCTCAGCAGTGCGCATCCACGACCCCGCACCACCCGGGGCTCGAACCCAGGACCTACTGGCTTCGCGCGCGAGCACTTAACCATTAGACCACTGAGCCGGCATCCAACGGTGTTAATGTCTAACTTCAAATATATTTCCACACCAAAACCCTGACATAATCCAACAACAATGAACAGTCAATAATGAGTCATAATAATAATAATAATAATAAGGATAGGGGAATATATAACTCATATGACACCTGTCAGACCATCTACATGTTTGACTAAGCAGACAATCAATCATTATCATTCTCACCCGCACATCAGAAAATGTTAATAATGTACAATTACAATTTCGTGTATGCCCTTGTCAATAATACAAACCAACAAAAAAACACGGTAAGCCACTTTTTCGAAAATAACGAGATACATTATCTACTGAATATTAGTAAGTAACATAATATAATACATTAAAAAAATCGGATCGGTAGAGGCAACCGATTTACTTCATCCAATATTTTATTTCTAACATCAACGCTGGTTACTTGATGGTTTCAAAATATGTGATCGATGCTCCGAAGACATCTATGATTAAACACTAGTAACCTAACATATGATACTGAATAAAGCTATGTCATTAGGTGAGACTATAATTTATGGACGACCTTTGAGCGACGCTGAAGTGACCTTGAGAGTGGACGCCTACTGAATAGGACTAAGTGAGGATTATAAAGCAGTTAGAATTCTCATTTACAGTTGATGGTTGTGGTTAAAAATTAGATTTAGGGTTTTCATCACGAACTGATATCAGCTATAATGCCAAAACTCTATTTAGCCAAATGTGTGGATGAATTTCGCGCCAAAAACGAGACTCATTATTTTATATCTGATTAGTTCGTCCATAAATTATAGTCTCACCTGTTATTATTATTATTATTATCTTTTCTAAATGTCGAATTTCACACTCATAAAATAGAAAAGAAAGCTAACTGCTGAGCAGTATACTCGTCATTTTTGTTAGTAGACGGAAGTCTCTCCTACACTACAAGGTAACATAAATGAGAAAAACTCGAAAAACAAAACGAAGCACGAAAGAAACGTAAAATACCTTGAATAAAAAGTATTCATTTTACAAATATACATTTATTTGTATGAACATATATATATATATATATATATATATATATATATATATATATATATATATATATATATATATATATATTGGTATAAAGGAGCATCAAATACATGCGCCACACAGTAACAATGAGAATGTGAAGAAATAGAGAATGTATGGTGCGTATAAGAAAAATGAGAACAATAACGAACAGAAATCAGTGTATGAGAGTGAAGTTATAATAATGGGAAAAGCAGTTCAGTCAGAAAATCTACTGTTATGTCTAGAAGGTTGTTCTTGATATACCGCGTATAACGTGAGCACTAGAACGCCAAAACCCTTGCAAGTCGCAATAAGAAGACAGAAGACTAATGAAAGGGATATTTTTCCCAGACAGTGTCAATTACAATACAAAATTGCCAGGTACTTATAGTTTTTAGTAAAAACGAAATCAACATTACAGTCCTCCAATCCACATACAGGGGGTTATTAGCATTATCCAATCGGGAAGCTACACGTAGGGATTCTAGAATATTCTTCCAAAAGGTGATTGGGTGAAATATCAACGGCTCCTTCTGGGCCTCCTACAGTTTCCTCGAGTTCACCCGTGGTCCGTCGTCATATGTACAACCAGAAAAATTCTTCCAGTTAAAGAATATACGTCTATTTTTTATGAAAAAAAGTAAAATAAAGTTACAGCAGGACGGCCACTGCCTTCTATTCTGAGCCATATCTGATAACGTCTCTAGCCACTATGCCGCACTATCTCTAGGACCCCAACCAGGGAATCGTCAAGGACCAACCGAAGCCAGTCCTGTACAGCTTTCTTTCGTACCCCGACACCATGTCGTACACTGACCACTTCTCTGTTTTTTCAACCGGCCCCAGAGTCAGCAAATGATGCACGATGTGAAACTAGCTGGGACGACATTCGTAGGCCATGTCCGAGACACCGAAATTGATGTTTCAAGATAGTGATAGCAATTTAATTACCGTCGCTGTACCCAAACACACGATGCCGAACCTTTGCACTACTTACATGGTATTGCCACTTGTTGGCAGCAATGCTTCGGAGACAATGATAATCAAACACAAAGAGTAGCCTAACACTCTCAACTTGATGATGCCAGGTTTCACAACCATAGAGCAAAACCGCTCTCACTGACGTGTTATAGATTCAGATTTTTACAGCCAATCTGACAGAACGAAGGCGCCAAAGATGACCTAGATGAGTATAGGCCACTTTGACTTTCACTATACGTGAATTGATCACATCAATCACACCACTACTAGCACTTATACAACTATCCATATACACGGACTTTGCACTGGCAATATACAAAGCATATACCATACCTCCAGACACTAATTGCCAACTGATTAAGTGCGGATTGTATGATTTGGGTATCACCCGCATACTTAAGGTCGAAAATTCTTTCTCTAAACAACAAATCCACACTACCATTTTCTACATCTATCAAAACTGTTTCCAGAACGCTATCGATAACAAAATTTAAGTATAATGTTGAGATTGTGCAACCTTGTCTAACTCTATTCCTTGAATGAGACTAACAACTATAGAATATTGATTTCAATGACTAATTAATAAAACAAAATAAAATTATTCAATTTTACAATTAAATAATTATAAACAATTGACTTTGTTTCTTTTTTAATCTTTAAAAAACGAATTTAATGATTTTTCAATTTGTTGATAAATTTCTTTTTCAATTGAACGTTTAATGATACCATCATATAAACGAAATTGATTGAACATTTTAAAAAAGATTGTAAAAACACCTTTACTATCAAATCGAAGATTATCCCAATGGATAACAGTAACTTTATTCACACGAATTGGTAATAATAAATCATTATTCATTGGTTGTATAAGAAGTAAATCCAAATATATTTTGATTGATTTAATTTTAATTTCAACTGACTATGAAATGTGAAGAAGAAGAAAAAAAAAGAAGAAGAGAAAGTATATTTTGATAAAAAAAACTATTAAGTATATTAATTGTAACTATCGTATAAAGATCACTGATGACCTGCTTGAATAGCTCGGCTATTTCTTCTTGACATCTAAATTTTTCAATAGTTGAAATCATTAGTCAATTGAAGCTAGATCACCATGGAAAACCTATAAGTTTTGGAAAGCCGCTTCGTCCTATTACGGGACTTCTCAGCAATGCGCATCCGCAATCCCGCCCGTAACGAGGTTCGAACCTAGGACTTGTCAGTATTGCCGATGAGCGCTTAACCATTAGACCACTAATCCGGCATCCAACGGTGTTAATATCTAGCTTCAACCAATCCAAGAAATCATGCCACCTTACGCCATCTAACAACAGACCTGATTAGACTCCACTGGTTACAGCTTCTCACTAGAACTTCAGGAAACGCCTCTTGAAGTCAATCACTATTGTTTTGTTTGTTTTAACACTTCATTATGTCTATTAACCGTATAATTTATTTAGGCGCGTTTACGAACTTTCTCTGTACAAGTTATAAAAAAGTACAATCAGAGAGATCGTGATGACTGGCAACATACATTTAAAGAATGAATGTCAACCAGATATCGTTTTCTGAATTCCTAACATCTCTCTAACTGGCGATTATTCAATATTTATCGTCATGATTCAGCAAAAAATAAGAAACGGAAAGTTATTGAAATACTTTGTTCTGAGAATTCTATATTCTAACGAAAATATAATATTGAATAAAGCCATTAATTTTGATGGAGTTTTGTTCTGTGAGCTGGATGGTTTAGTCATGGAGCTTTCATCGTTCTTCTGAACGACATCATTAACACAAACTTCAGGTAGACCTGAGCTACAAATTTACTCCACTATCTCATAAAGCCATTAATAATAATAAAGGCTGTTAGAATTGAGAGCATACTTGTTGTTCTTTATTGTTGTTGCTGTGAGGACTTTAAAAATGAATTATGTTTAATCTTAATTATATAAAATACCTACTTATTATATATTATGCTGTTATTATTGTTATATAAAAATGTTACTTCAACCAATCCACGAAGTTGCGCTACCGTACACCATTGTCTTCAGTGAGTTCCTATCTCACAACAGACCTGGTTGAACTCCACTGGTAACGACTTCTCACTAGAACTCCAGAAGTGTCTCCTGAAGTTAGTCACTAGTGAGCAGGTGATTATTATTATCAGAATGTGTTTTGTGGAGATTTTTAGAAATTTGCACAGATTGAAATCGTGACTGACTTCAGGAGACACTTCTGGAGTTCTAGTGAGAAGTCGTTACCAGTGGAGTTCAACCAGGTCTGTTGTGAGATAGGAATTCACTGAAGACAATGGTGTACGGTAGTGCAACTTCGTGGACTGGTTGAAGTTAGACATTAACACCGTTGGATGCCGGCTCAGTGGTCTAATGATTAAGTGCTCGCACGCGAAGCCAGTAGGTCCTCAGTTCGAGCCCCAAGTGGTGCGGGGTCGTGGATGCGCACTACTGAGGAGTCCCATACTAGGACGAAACGGCCGTCCAGTGCTTCCAGGTTTTCAATGGTGGTCTAGCTTCAACTGGCTCATGATTTCAATTTGTGCAAATTTCTAAAAATCTCCACAAAACACATTCTGATAAAAATGTTACTATTCGAAGTGTCAAATCGCCATTTATTTCTATGTAGATTGTACATGTCAAGTAAAATATTGAGTTTTTGTTTCAATTCATCTTGTTCATAGTAAACTCTCAAAGAGATAACTTTATTAATGATTTACAAAATAATAGGCCAGTTAGTTATGTAACAATGTTAATACAGATAAAGTTCTTTTTCTCGCACAACTTCCCTCATACCGTAGTATTGTAATTAAATTTTCCTAATTCTTCCAGTATTTACAATGGGATCTAGGACACGAGTTTCATCTTATTCGGAACTTATCAGTGGAAGAACCTGAATTCCATTATTTTTGTTTACAATCAGACTCTAATTCAATACATTTTACTTCAAATTTAAATACATTATCCACTGAGTTTAGGTAGAAACAACTCTGAGATGTCAATACATACAGCTTACAAGTCCAAAATAAGACAAAATGAACATTATATGATCCATTGTTAACTAACGTTTATTTATTCAATAAAATCTTGTAAAAAACGACTAAATCAAGACAATTCACGCAAGCTGAGCATATGCCAACTAATGGAATAACTCAAACCTTTCTAATAATGATACTACAATATATCTATGGTTATGAAAAAGATTTAAAAAGAGACCTTTAAGGTGAACTAATCCACATATCGACTAATGAGGCTATTTATCGATACTGCATAGGACATATTAGTCATGAAGAACAATAAAATTTCTAAATCCGTTAAACTTCAACAGATTTAATTGTTTCTGATGTAAAATACTTCTAACTTACTAAGACTCTACTCATTGACTCTAAAATCATAAGATGATCTTATTATCTCGCTTATCATGTCCCTATATCATTAGCTACACTGTACATTATCATGGAGTGGTGTGCAAGAACACCGATTCAGACAACATTACAGAGCATCTCAATAAATCTGAGAACCATATATCAAATTGTTAATTTGCAAAATATCCACCAGTTGTTTCAAAATGCTTCAGACTTCATTGTCCTTGCATTTTCATACAAATTGCATTCTATTCCCGCTCTCGCTTTCTTAATCTTCCCCCATCTTCTGCTTCCAGACATTACATTCCTGACTTGCGTCATATACTACTTATATCAATATAAGTAGCACACACCACAATGGTAGCATTATTTCAAAATTTTCCCCACCAGTTAAATAAACTAATAGATTCAGAACAGTTTCATCAAAAGTTTCAAGTAACTAGTTAAAAGCGAAGCAAATAATCATCACGAGAAGATAAAAATAACCAATATTTCCATGATTACATAACAGAATCTGAAGACTATGACCTGTAGAAAATATATATGTTTTGTGGAGATTATAACTACTTTTGTGAGAAAAAGTAAGTCAGTCATAATCAATGTAAAGCCTGGTAAACATATGCATCAGTCTAAACTGCCATACATTATTAACACAATTTAAATGAAATTAACAAAATGATTAGTAAAGAGATTTAATGGAGTGGTAATTATAGTGAGAAAGACTTCAAATTACGAACATAGTTCGAAAAGACAGAGTGAGGAGGAAAGGTTAAAACCCAAGTTTTATCACAAGGTAGAGTATACATATCATTGTGACTAATTTTGAGAGATGTCGACCGTCTTCAGCCCATAATTGTAGTTATTATCTTGACTTTACCAGGGTAGCCAGCTTCTAGCAACATGGATTAGATCAACAGTCAATCATTTCATGTACTGATATTGCTTTCTGGTTTAGATGCCTCCAATTTCCTTCCAACTTATTCGTATACGGACTAATATTCTTTGTCAAGGTAGGCGATGGATAGTCGTACATAGATTAAGAGAAAATCAGCTGGACTTTAACCGATCTAATAATAATACCTTGGAAATTTATTTCGTGGCAACTATTCTTGTTAATAAAGATGATCTTCGAAAATATTATTCTTCGAAATTAAAAAAGTATATTCCAAAAGTGATCTTTATTAAAAAGTGATATCGTCTGAACAACAGTTTAGAACCAAGCAATATTAGTTGGATATGCTCTTCTAGCTTGTGATTCTTAATGAATACCCTCACAATTATAACACTATACAGGTTTAGCAATAACCATGATATTCTTGAACTAAAAAGATGCAATTCACTAGTCCATATAACATACTTGGTCGACCATATTGCGGTATTTCATTATCCATATCCATTGTTGAAGAGTAAAACAATAAAGATGAGAATCATTTTGAAATTCTATTAACATCTTAATAACGTTATCAAGTATCCTAATTATTTTTTTAATATCATTAGACAACTTAATTAAGAACTAAGAAGGGGTTAAATAGGAAGCACATAAATATGGAATGAGACAGTTTATCTGTGACATTGAATGAATTATGCCAAATAATGACTGCATTTTGAAAATAGGAGAGATAGAATTATGATTCGGTGCTTGGATGATAATCCTACTCACCATGGGATCTTGTAGTGTTTGGTACTATGTGAAGCATGCTTTGGTTATTCTAGCTTCCGGAAAGTCCAGCTTAGTCGTATTTCTTGAGTCATAATCTGACCTTGTCATTTATTCGCTTATTAACCATGGACGTTTTTGAATTAGTGTATGCGTGTGCTGCTTACCATATTCATCACATGTCTGCAACTTATTTTTGTCTGATTATAGATACTGAGTCAAACTTGATCAAACCGTATTGGTTCACCTGACTTCTCATTTCCAATTCCCAGCCTTTCATATTGAATGTCTGTCTGAACCATCGGGTGTACGAAATATACGTACTCAAAATTCATTCTCGTATTTGACTTATCCTGTTATTCTCTAACGTAAATTAGATCGGTAATTATGTACGAGGGTAGCCGGGATGTATATTTCGTTAACATCATCATATGATCTAATTGGAGTCAGATTACAGAACTTCAATTGGGGAACTGGAGAAAAGAAACCAATAACTCAATACTACCATCACACCCTAACACTGTGAAAAGTACAACTTCTCCCTCGGACCTTAAGTTACTGGTTTTAGTCTTAAGATTCTCCAACGAACTTGCTTGACATTAATCAACCTAAAGGAACAGGTGTTTCAGACAATGCAGCTTAAATGGATCGTCAGGATAATTAAACCCAAATACCACATCAAGATAGCAGCTATGATCTCAAGCTGCTGACAAGTGCTACCTTGCAAGAAAGCTGAGTTCAAGTGGCTTTCTGTAAATTACATCTATCTGCATAACATGAACTGTTCTAACATATAATATCCAACTTTAAAACAATAGTTAATACTCTGAAGAAGTGACTAACATTAAGTCACAAAACGTCAAAAATAAAATTATCTACTCATTGAGATATAAATAATATAATTATTATAACTAGTTAATACATTTAATTACCCGAGGTTTAGTAGCAAACATGATCATTTTCATTTTACCATTTATAACAAGATAGTCAAATAATAACGGAAATATCATTCGTATATTTCCTGATGATAGATCAATAATATCAACTGGTTCTGAGAATTGTACAGCAGATAAACCACTAATTCTTATGTCGAAAAATTCAGCAGTACCAAATTTGATTGGATTACCAATTTTGTATGCACTATCTTTACCATAATGAGTTAATAATTGTTCCATATAATATTGTAATACATTACTTGTAAGTAATGAATTACAAGTTAATGGTTGATTAGATGTCGTATTGTAAATTTCCTTAGTTCGACATGGAACTGGAGAATTGGAAAGGAGAAATCAATTACAGTTTAGTATATTACAATATTTATAAAATATATTAGATTAATTTGCTAGTTCCTTTTAAGAAATGATATTAGAAGAATCAATCGGAACGAAACGAGATCGATATAACACCTAACAAAACATTTTTTGAATTAAAATAGTCATAATGTAGATTAGCTGAGATTATCTACCACATATAATTCCTATTTTTTCTTCCAATGATTCCGCTAACCACATAACAGAAGAATTTAACGACAAACAATAGTCTGTATACTACCAGAATCTAAATGATTTGATAAACTGCATTGGTCGAATAAAAAATCGAACCTTAATCGAATAACTTTAGAAAGATTAAAGTGCTAATCAAATGACTGAGTATTCGAATATGTGTTAGAACTATTGTTCACATCTAAATTGCTTCAAGTGGACGACGAAATAATCGTTCTAATGGTTAAGAGTTCAACACGAGACCACGGGACTTTTGAGAAGCTCCATTCTAAGATAAAACAGCTATTCGGTGTTACATGTTTTTTTTAACAGTATCCCAAATGAGATTAGTCTAAGACGAATAATACTAGAAAATTTTTAACAATCTCCACGAAATCCTTCAAATATACGCGTCTTTAAATAAAATATTAGGATAAATGGACATTTTGTCAGTTAAATAAATAAAGAATAAATTAAGGAATAAAGTGCTTGTACAAAGTAACCACAGAATTCGCATCACAACTATGTTCATTTATTACTTATTCACTTGCCACACTTAACTATCTACTTAGTTGGTTAATGTCACAATACTAAAAAATTGTAATATTAGTAATTAATGGTTGACTTGCTGTAGGATTGAAATGTACTCACAATTGATTAACTACGGAGTAGTGACCAATTTCATGTCTCTATAGTCTTCTTAGTGCTGACCATAGATGAAAGTGAGACATCGTCAATAATCTAAGTAACTTTACATCTTGTGCACCATGTTGTCTGTAAATGTGAAGCGGGTTGATACAGGATCAAATCTACCAGGGATCACAAGCTCCTTTAAGATTACAAGTACATCCTGCTAACGAGTATCAAATAATAAGAAAACTAGGTCTAGGTGTTTTTGCCGACTCCCTCCAATCACCTGAAATTTAAACCTGGTGCACCCAATGTATTTTAATCACTCAGACTAGTGACCATAATGCCGTTTGATCGATGGAAGTTGATCAACACGAAAGGACTAAACAAACAAGATATCGATCACCATTCAGTTGTAAATCAATTATCTGTATTAAACTTAATCTTGAGTTAAGTGTCATTCTCAACTGTTTATACTTCAGTCTTTTTTTCTTTCAAACTATATCTCTCATATTTAAGTCTTTATTGCAACTGAAATTTGGTCTCCCTTTTGTCTCGTTTTCTGTTAATGTTCTCTATCTCTGTGTTTATTTCAGATCTTATTTCAATGATGACTGACAGGCTATTCTAAAATATAATCTTTCTGCATAAGTGATTCATACATTTAGAAATAATTCATAGCCAACTGATGTAACACATAGCAATGGTAACAATAGTAAGACCACACAAATCTGTGGATTGATCCATTGACCGAACATCATAAGCACAGTAGATTTGCATGTGAAAGAAAATTTTGTCAAAAGAAATAGTTGAACAAAAGTTTTCTTCCTTCTTTATTTACTGTATACAGTTATTGTACTCGACTTTAAGTGATACTGTCTGACTGTTCTCACCTAAGGTAGATAAACGAGGTTTAAACCTGCTACCTATCGGGTATATATATGATATTTCAAACAGCTAAGATTTCTAGTGATCAAGTTATTTAAAAAAGAACGAATGATGAATCAAAATACTAAACGTATTTGCAAAGTAACACCAATGAATGTCACATTTTAGTAGTTATGACAGAAATGTTAACATTTTCGGAAAAAAACTGAGAATAAACCCTAAATCTACGTGTCATGTCAGTTTAAACTCATCACCAGTGAAATGGTATCTGCAAGATTAATGTAAGTGTCATTTTAGATGAGATCTAAAACTTGTGTCAATGGCGTCCTGTTGATTGTGTTTAACTAAATAATATCAAACCTAGTGCATGTTCCACGATGGTGAATCACTTTGGCTAGGAGCTATATTTTAACTGCATCAATGAAATTTAACCACCATTCAGTAGTAGAAATGTGAAATTGATTAACACTAAATGAATTGAATGTTGAAGTTGGGATTTACTGACTTTAATCTGTGGAATATAATACATTTTTTGATCAATCTGACTGAACTTTTGTATTGGTTCCCTAAACTCTTCTAATAACATCAGGTTAAATTTACACAACAACTTGAACACGAGAGAAAAGGTGTGAAGTATGGAAAAGGACGCTTTACTCCATGGTTCGTTCTATGTACAGAAAATTTAGGATATTCATAGTATTTCAGATGACCTTGTGCTTTTGAAAGGTTTTGGAACACTACTAAACATAGTAGTTGGATAGGTAATCATCCACTCAGAAATGTGACACATGACTCTTCACTTTTAGATATTTCTGTTAAACTTCTATTCAACGATAATTAGATAAAAATGTATCCTAGAGTTTTCAGGGACTTCCGGAGCATTTTTCGAGGAATATTTTGGATCTCATCGACATTTTTAAACAACTTTACAGAATATCAAGTAAATTCTCGAGGTCGTTTTAACTATTAGTTAACTTACATTCCACGCTATTTCTTAACCCGTGTAGCTTAAATTGTGAGACTATAATTTATGGGCGACCTTTTAAGTAATCCTACGTGACCTTGAAAAATATTAGTCAATCAAGAAACAGTTAGTCTAGACTAAAAATATACAAAACCAAAGAATTAAAGTGGATGTACTTCTTTTATATGGTTCAAAAACTTGCCAAGGTGAGAAAGAGGTTCAGAAGTTCTAAAATCGTAATGCATACGGTAGACGAACTCATCCATATAACTCCATAATGGTGGGCTTCGACCACATAGCTTCAATATTGTTTGTTTGAACTCCGGTTGTGTTAGCTTGTCATTTTTATTACACATATATCTCTACAAAACCTATACCACTGGACAACTGAAACTTCAGTAACATCTGAGAATGCTGCAGTCAATGTTACTGATGCTTTTATTATACAATTCGCGACAATTACCATAAATTACTCAATCTGGATCGAGTGAAAAATCCCTATTCTAGCAGAATTCTTCCTGCAATATATATTACATCGAAACACAACATCATCACGGTAGTCTGCACAAGGTTCACAAGTCATATGATTACCACAATTAAAAAAATGAAGGAACCTCTTAGTAGTCTCATTTATTGTAGCCGCTCAATTATCACGTCTTCTCTAAAATCCTCTGTGAACCGATCGTTCGTAAGCATCAAGTACTGAAATTAGCGCGATGATCTTGAAATCCCTGAAACGCTTCTGATTAGCTCATCCATAAATTACAGTCTCGCCTAAAACGAATAATGAATATTATGGTATATAAATTAAGATTAATACAAATGAGTTAAGAAATGACATACTGACAATATTGTAAATTAATAAATATATAATCCATTGATAAATCCAATTCTTCATATGATTAACATGGTTTAATCTAATGAAAATAGTTTCACAATTATTCATTCTTGACTACACAATATAATGGTACCATTTGATCTATAGAATATTATAAATAAAATATAAATGATTATTAATTTTGTTTATATATTCATTGAATGAATGGTCGGTCATTCTACCAATAAATAAATTGATGTTCGTATATTGTAACCGAATTATTGTTATTATTAATTGTAAGACATCTTTAGAGATTGTTAGATTTTATAGTTTATATCACAAATTGACCTCGGTTAATGTTATACTTGTGGACTGCTGATGAGAGGGCAGCTTATTATCGACCGGACTAAAGACGCGTAAACATGTAAGAACGGCCTAGAGTTCTGGTTGGCCCCGATTCCCTGTCTAGCCCAGCCAGTTAAGTCCAAAACGCAAGTCTCAGCCTCTGAGATATGAATCGTTATATTTCAAGCATACTCTGTTTATATACCAATCAAGCAGACCACATCCCAACAGTTAAACAGTCAATGAACAGACATTTCCCTGTTCTAGTATGAGACATGTCAATAATGCGCACCAGAAATTTCATCAGGTTATTGAACCCAAAACCATCAAGTTTAGTGGTGAATGTCTAACCTGATATATTTCTAACCTCATAAAGATCTCGTATCCATTAGTGACTAATTTCGAGAGGCGATTTTCATAGTTCTAATGAGAATATGTGAACAGTTGATTTTAATCATGTTGAGTGTAAGACATTTACTTACGGTTGGGGATGTTAGATCCCCAGAACTCACGTGGTAAATGCCTTAATTTTGTAATATTATTTTGGAAATTTAAACTCCCTTGTTTTCGCGCCAAAAGCGCGCTTTTCACTTTCGTGTCGTATTTCCCACTTGGGAGAACCTTTAACGCTATTAGTCCCTTGTGTATTTTTAGTATGCTATTTTTGCTACGCTTTCCAAAGACAGTCTTGTGCTATATATATACGTTTGATTTGTATCTGTTATTATTTACTCGTGCTTATGGCTTACGGAATATACTTTCCCGCTCCAAGCTTGGAATTCTTCCTCTAGTTAGCGGAGCTGGGACGCATCAAATAGCTAGATTATTGGTCTACGGTCACAATTCCTTTTTCCGTTCGCATACCAAGTGAACTCGTAATAGCTTCAAACCTAGCATTTACCAATGGTACTGGCAGATCCTTGTTAATATCACAAATTGATTAGAATAGCTTGATGTGAACTAACCGAATATACTATAAGTGAGTTTTCTGAAATTCTACAAACGTGCATCATTGATTTCACTGCTAGCCACTATTCATCTTTGCTCATAATTCTTACATTGTTTATAATTTCATTTTAAGCCGTCGATAAATTCCATCCATTCATCTGATTATCCAACTGCGTATTTCAAGTCCCTTGATGCTTTGCTACAACTTTAATAGGTGTTTTAACGATACAGAAAGCAAGACTTAGCTCAAATGATTAGGACTTCAATTGGTTTGACTTGTGAATGGTCTAACAACTATCTTAATCCTACAAACAATTATGTTTAAATATGTTGCATAAATTATAAATCAGTTTACCATCTTATTACAGAAGACAGCTATCTTTACTGGTTAGTTGTCCTGCATTCAATATCAGCTCATTAGTGGTTTTTCGTCCATAATTCGGTTTTATTTTGAGTGCTTATCGATGAGGCATACTACTTAAATCCAGAACCTTCTTGTCCACGTGATAATTTTTATTTCTCACATTATTTGTTCTTTAAAGTTATATTTGAATTGCAAACAACTTTCCTGTACTAGACTACTATTATCAATATGGATTGGTAGTTTTCTTGGTATCTGTATATAACAAACACAATTTTGTTGGACATGGATATGACCACAATATTTGTAGTGTGTTAAATTATGAAATGATTTTGATGTAATACGTAATAAACTGAATGTTTGATCATGAAAATGTTTCGGCCGATTCATTTCTTCTTCAATATATTTTTGTAATTGTATTAATTGATTATATATAGTTACAGATTTATTCATTCGTTCTATAAATGGTACATTTAATTTAGACCATGTATTTGTATAAGCATTAATATAATCTATATGATACCATATAAAATTTAAAGGATGTTTATTGTTACTGAATGATTGACATACATAAGTACCAGAATCATGATATGGATCAATCTTTTTTTATAAACTAATTCATTGGTTCTATTTATTAAACATGGATCATTTATGATTGTATTAGTTAGAACTGGTTCAAGTAAATCTCTATTCAATATCCATTTATGATCATAGAATGTTATATTATTTAAATGAAATAGAATACGATACCATTGAAAATGTATTGGATTATCATTTGAACATAAATGATAAGCTAATTGTAAATTCATTGTAAATTGATCACGTTTAATTAATTTAATAATATGACGTTGTTTAGCTAAATTCAATTGTAATGCATAACATTTATTTAATTCATTATTATTATTGTATACAACAGTTTTATTATATGGACAAACGTTTAAATAACTGGAAATTGGGATAAAATTAAATAAAAATGAAAATACTACTATTAATAATAAGAGTAGTATAACTGAAGTAAAATACATGAAAATTATAGTAAATGTTAATAACTAAGTTAAATTCTTGTTATGACCTTGTGTTTTTTTGGAATGATCGATTATATTGTGAATTGATCAAATATAATATCTTACTTTATGATGAATGAAATAGGATGGTAGACATTGCATTCATACTAACATGCTGGATTTGTTTTCTTTTTCCAGTTAAACAGTTATTAATTACATTTAAGTGTAACCCCAAAAAACGGAACGAATTTAACACAATACATGTTATTTTAAGACAGCAATTTCAAGATATACAACTGGTAATATATTTTAAATAATTTAACCAGTACGCTGTTATATCTAGAGCTTACATTCTTGATATACCGGGTATAACTTCAGCACTCGAACGCTAGAACCCTCCAAGTCGCAAGTTACGAGACGAAAGACAAATGAAAGGAATGCTATTCCAAACAGTATCAAATATGGTACAAAACTCTCGGGTATTTATAGTTTTTAGTAAAAGCGAAATCATCATTATATTCACCCAATCAGCAAATAGGGATTTTTAGCATTTATCCAATAGGGAAGCTACAAGTAGAGATTTTGGAATATTCTTCCACAAGATGATTACCAGTTGGCCGTCCTCACATACGCGATCTATGGAAATCAAATAAACATAACTTTGATTTATTCAACAGTATATGGTGTAAACAGATATAGACTTACAAGTTTGATCAGATACAACTGGAAATCTATGACTGGGGATTAGGTTAATGGTTGACTGGTTCTAAAAGTGTTTAGTGGCCCGATATCTGACTCCAGTTAGATCATATGCTAGATTGTTATCGATATATACATCCCAGTTACCCTTGTATATAATCGTCTACTTAAATCGCTGGTGAACAACGGGATTAGATAAGTCAAATACGAGAATGGATTTCGAGTACGTGTATTTTATACAATCATTGGTCCAGACAAACGATCTAAGAAACGAAGCGAAGGAAAGAGAGATAGAGAAGCGAAATGACGCATAGTGGAGTAGGTGTGTGAGCAAACTCAATTTAGCCATGTCTGAATCAATATTTATAGTCGAACAAAAATAAGTTACGGACATGTGATCAATAGGATAACATGTGCATACATAAATGTTCATATAAAAAGTCACAATTAATAAGCGAATCACTAACATGATGAAGAATGAATAAATTGGCTTGTCCGGAAGCCAGAATAAACTATGTGGGTATAACATAGCAACCGATACTAGAAATGTTCAACATTCAACCAATAAATTTCAGGTTCACACCCTGATTTACCTACCTCTATTTGATTAACTGATTAACATCACGAGCCTTCACATAAACATTACAGCCCAATGTTGAATACATTATTAATTAAAGAAGTTGGGTTGCATGACGGAAAACGAGTTGAAAGGTATCAAGTTCCACACTCGTCATTCAATAATCTCATACGTTTCAAACAATATTTAAAATTTCGCTTGAATATAAATCCATATTTCCTCGGGTAGTAGATTGTAGGAAAGTGTACAATACAAATAAAAAAATCCTCATTTATTAACAATGTAAAATCTTCTTGAGAATGTTGTGAAAATAATTTTTTAGAAAATAACTGAAAACTAATGTATACAAATTGATGAACAGTTAAATGGCAAACAACGACAAAATTGGTATATAGGTAGAGAAGAAAGAAGGAGCGAACTATATTTGACTTCATGTATATATTATTCCAAAAAGTATCAAATATTAGGTTAAGGCAATGAAATACTCAGTACTGAGATTTCAAACCACCTCTTTATCATAGGACATTAGGTTGAGATGATGATGATGAAGTATTTCAAGGTGATTAGTCTATAACCATACTCTTTCCTCTTTAAATTTACTCAAATCATAAAAATTAAATGCTTCAAACTGGATCTTTGTATTCAAAAAGAAACAATGATAAGTTTTTCTTTACTCTAGTAACATCATCCTTATCTTGTTACATCACTCTTATTTTAACTACATCATTTTAGTCATACGAAACATGTTTTTCAGATTTCGGATATTTTCTTCTGAGTAATTCTTATATTTGACTTTCTTGGTTTGATGTAAGAATATGCTCTTTCCATGCTTTCCATATACTTTAGGTGGAACATGAATTATACAGCGATCCAAGCTAGACAATGATACACGTTTACGAACCACATATATACCCACATCATTAATCAAAACAAAGTGTAAATGAGCAGCCAAACCAGTAGGAAAATCTACTACATTTTGGTGACCTAGTGATGAAAGGAAGCTACAGTCACATGAATTGAAATCATCACATGCAACTGAAAGTTAGGTGGAGAATCCTGGTGAGTGACTAATGGCTTCTCCATCAGGGGGTAACAGGCGTAATTAAGTAAGTGATATTTGATTTTGTATAATATTGCCTTACACATTGTATTTATGTCGGACGTTTTAAAAAAAAACATCTATTCAATCCTATTACATTTACTCGACTCTTATTCACTCCATTGTAATAATAAATATTCACATTTAACCATCAAGTTCAGTAATTCGGTCTGGGCACCCGGGCAATATCACAGCCCAGCCCACATCTAGTATATAAAATATGATAAATGATTAAATTTTATAGATTTATCACTATTATACTTAAGGCATAAATATATAGATTTTAAACAATTTTAAATTTTACCATACTATAAATATTTGATATAATTAACTGATATAAGTATATATCAGTAGTATAAATTTGTGAAAACGAAAAATTGCCAATGGTAACATTCATAAACACAACATATACTTAATTATACAATAATGAATTCTTTAATTATTCTACAATTATTATTATTATTATTATCATCATCATTATATACTACTGATAATAAACTAAAAATATGTAATTTTAATATACCAAATATCAAAACTAATAAACTATGTAATATTGAACGTATAAAAAAAGCTGGTAAACGACATCAATTTTTATTATTTAATTTAAATGAAATGTATATTACATTTCATTTATATTGTCCAATATGTTTAAATGAAAGAATTAATTTATTTGAATGGTATTATATACCACATTATAAACATTCTATATTATTTATTAAATCTAATAAAACATTATATGAAAGTGATATTATGCTTAATAATAAATTATTAAAAAAACTTAAACAAGATACATTCAATAATCTTTGTATTAATAAGTTAAATTTACAATTAATTGGACAAAATATTAATGCAAATAAATATTTAGGAACATATGTATGTCAATATAGAAAAGATAAAATGCATCCATCTAATTTTATTTGGTATCATTTATATAAAATTGGTTCATTAAAACAATATTCAAAATTAATAAATCTATCAAATATACAACAAATATATCAATTAAATAATCAAATAAATATTATATTTAAAAGAGATGAAGAAGAAAATAAAGTTAGAAATGATTGTGATAAAATACAATTTAATCATCCATATAGACGTTGTTATTTGAAAATACCACGATTTGAATTAGAATTCAAAGAAATGATCAAGTATCATGACAACAACAACACCACCATCACCACCACCACCAATAGCAACAACAACAACAACAACAGTAATGATTATGAAATGATAGAAATTATTAAAATATTAAGATTATCATTTGAATATTTTACAAAATTATATGATTCTAAATTAAATGGTTCTAAACAATTAGCTATAAATAAAGCTAAACGTTTAGGTTTTAAATTATATATTGATAATTATTTTATTTATATACCATGTGAATATGAATTATTACAGCATATATGGATAACAATAAATGATAAATTCTTACTTACTAGTAAATATAAAGAAATTCATAATGAAATAATATGCAATCCAATTTATTCAATTATTCAATGGATTAATTTAAATAAACAAATAAATCAAATGAATAAAACAAAAACTTTTCTTATTAAAACTATACAACAGAATTCTTATCATTTAATAATGAAATATGATTCAAATATAATAAAACAATTAAAATGTATAAATTTAATGAATTCTAATATATTTTGGTTATTATTAAATAATAACAATCATAATTATACAATAAATAAAGAAAAAATAAATTTACCTGATATTAGAAATAATTGTAATTTGAAATTTGGAATTGTTCTTAATACTAATAATGGTACATATGATTGTTGTCATGGGAGAAATTCAACTTTTAATCTGATGATGATGATGATGATTAATAAAGGAAATAACATCATTATTGGTATAATTATTTTAACTATATGGTTATTGATATCAATAATTATTTGGGTACTTTTTCTTTGTTGTATAAACTATATGAACAAAACATTGAGTTGAATGAGTACTTTTTGAAACTGTTACTTAATTACACCTGTTACTCTTAATGGAGCATAGGCCGCTGACCAGCATTCTCCAACTCATTCTGTCCTTTTGAAACTGTACACAACAATAAATATATATATTTAAATTGGAGTTTATTTTTTAAAAATTTTTCACGAAATATCATTCAGATAGAAGTTGAGTAGTTTTTATGAAAGTATTTTTGAATAATTAAAGTTGACTGGTTGAATTCAAATACAATACAACAGTAAATACTTATTATTAAAGACATCCACAATTATCTACTTGGAGATTCATTTGTTGTAACAGATAATATAGTCCTATTTGAAGAAAACGTCTTCTGATTGCTTCAAACAACAATGTCAGCATGTTTTCGGTGTTTCTTCAAATTCAAAAAGTCACGTTAAGGTTAGTCTACATCAATGCATGAACTAATAATAAAAAGTGAAGTAGTTGAGCTTGTCGGTGTCTTCATTTATCTGAGAAGTTTCATCAGTCCTGGTGAGTTGATATCCAACGAAATCTCGGTATAGATTTAGTAAGTTTGACTGGCTCTTGTCAACTTGCGAGATATCCATCTACCAACTAGAGGATGAGTATAGTGAGCAAGTTTATTCCGTTCTACTTTACGTCTTTGAAACGTGGCCTTTAACATAGATTATATGCGTAAGTTACTAGAACTCAATCAAAAATGTCGTGTATTTTGGGACCACGGAGTTCGAAGTACTATACGTAGACGTAGAGCATTAGATAAAGATGACTAATCGATTGATGAGGTAGTAAGTGTTTATCGACACACTGTTAGGACATATATTACGTATGGCGACTCAGACTTGCGGTGACCGCTGGTGCTGGAGTAAGTAGGAAGAAAGCTGTTTACGGGCAAACCAAGACGTGGTATTAGTCCATGGAGTCACTGACTGTTGGATCGAGTCATACAAGTTGGTGCAGACCACTTTGTTGGGTCCCATGAGATTATAGTAACCAATGGTTGGAAGGTTCGCAAGACATTGCTCAGATTCGTTCGTAATGGCGCAAGTGGATTTGTTTTCTATTTTCCCACTTCTGAGGATTTCCAAGCATGTCATTAAAAGTGAAAGTGAGTATAGGACAGATGTTTTGTCAGTCTAGGAATCCCCTTGAGGGAATGAGACTGACTTTTCACTTAATTCAAGTATAAATCGAAATCAAGAAAGTTATTATCCCAGTAGACACACTTCGTTAGAACAGTTGACTCATATACTTAAAAAACTGTCTCACTCCGATGGAAGTGAATTTAAAATAATCAGTCTTAGAAATCTTTGTGTGATGACCTCTGATATCTACTGGTCCTGATGTTAGAAATGCGAGAAAACTCACTCACAACTCAGCGATGCTGTTGATACATTAAGCCACTTAAAATAACCCTGTGACAACAAATTGTGAGTCCGACTACTATTGATTTGATCCTGTGAACTGTCCACTTTAACTGTTTGACTAAAGAATCTGCTATAAGAACACTAACCACATGTTCAGATACTTCCTTTTTCCCAACATCCAATGAGAAAATACGGCAAGAAGATATTAGTCTAAACGTCTGTATCTAAATGAATCGCTAACTCATAAATGTACATATCTAGAGATATGAACAACTAAAATAATACATTTCGGGTACAAAATTAGGATATTTAACTCATGATTAGATTACAATTATTTCAGGAAAAAAAGAAGATATGCTGGATAAAATGGAAAGTTGCGATTATGAAAAAATGGAAATCATATGAAATAACCGTTAATAATAACGTATAGAAATTAAGTATACTAATGCCACCCCCACAAATGCTTTTCCATAGTTTGTCGCTTTCTTTACTCTTCTCATTAGAACAATTTGTGAGAAAATACTTTAAATAATATTTGGTAAAACAAACATCATTTTACAATCCAAAACTGTTTGGAAAAATAGAAATACAAAAAGTGAGCGAAGAGGGAGATGGTCGATGAACAAATCGTAAGTAATTTACAAACTAGATTTTAAAATCGTAAGAAAGTCGATCACTCCATTTCTTATTTTCACTGGTTAAAATAGACTCAGATACTGGAATGCTACCTTTACGAATGAACAAATTAGTAAGAAATAAATTGAAACGATATGAAAATGCATTACTACTGATATTAACATCATGATAATTGATGATAGGATTGGAAAACAGTAAATAACTTAGACCTATATATGATTTAGACCTAGGTCTATTATGCCAAATAGTATGTAAAGGTCGTCTGAAATGCAGCGGTATATTTGAATCAAATAATAAATAATTTACTAATCGATACACAAATAATTGTTTGGCAAAATTGTATAGAAAAATATCTAGCCTATTTACATTTTGTATTTCATGCAAAGTAGACTGATTTAAATTGGAACGGATTATTGTAGCATGTGTAAACAATAATCTTTGTTTCATAAAAGATATTTTATTAAATTCAATAAATGAACGTTTAAAAGTAATATGTAAACATTTTTGTAATATGTATTGTGAATAAATTAAGTATTCACTTAAACCATAACAACTGATAATACTGACAAGATTATGTTTAGCACTGTTTAAAAGAGCTAATGAAACTTGTGGAATATGGGTTAATACTGTGACATTGAGAGGTTGAGACCATTTTGTTAAATGTTTATAACATCCTAGACTAGAAAGGTTTGCTAACATTCTTGTTTGACGATTACTTGCTAAATTGTAAGGACAATCTATAACAGATTTAATGGATACATTAGATGGGATATTTTCGACAATTTCTTCATTAAAATAACATGGTTTATAGTGTTCAAGTGGTGGGTATTGTTTATTACATCGAAGAGTAGCTGCATGCCATGTAGCACCGCGACGTATATGTTGCCATTCACTAACAAAACGATCGACAGGATCACGTAACAAAGTAAAATATATGTACCTGAAAACAGAAATAAACAATTCTAGTGAATGCAATTTTCAGTTAATAGAACTTTAGGAAATAGACAGTAAAAACAAAAAATACGCCCGTTATTTAAAAAAAAAGGTTGTTATAATGTAGTATTTGTTACTTCCAAACTGATGTAGCTGGGATTCTACATAGCCTCTAGTCAAAAATCACATACTCGTCCTTTTCTCACAAGTCAATTCAAAACACAGTGGTTAGGTCAAGTACGATAATTATCAGCTTGCACTACTTAATCTATAAATTTTCTAGCATCCATAATAGTTTCATTATACACAGATCATACGTTTCGGTTTTCTCCTGAGCGAGTTTTAAGCCTAATAAAAATAGTCTATGAGATGTCTTTGATATCTGGCTAGATAAATTGACAGTTCATCAACAGAATGAAGAGAACGAATTACGAGTATCGTATATGATTCAATGACAATAACTTGTGACACTGACTCTCCAGGCTTTTAATTATTTCCCACGTTGAAATGCAATTCATCTGAGACTTGAGTAAACATTCCTACATCGGGCGAACATAGTTGAATAAGATGCCCAATTGCGAATTGAGATGATTTAATCAGCGTTCTTTTCCCAATACACACATATTCGGTCTATAATTTTACATCCCAAACAGTTTCTAAAGCCCTGGCTAGTGCTACCGTGATATCTGTCACATCTTCCGACTCTTTAAGACTCATTTGAAGCGGCCGTCTTTTTTTCATGTCCTGATGATTGTACATAAATCAATTGTTCAGTAAGTAATACCTAGCCTAAACTTTTGTGTATTCCATAGCCCCTACGTCATTTCGATTTTTAATATTGCTGCAAATAATCAGCTAATTACGAAAAAATTCGAACTTTCCGGCTAGAGCATAATGTGAACAATTTTGGAATTGGTGGATAATGAGTAGAACGTACAAACGTGATGATAAGATTAATCATTTATCTAATAAATCGTTAGAGCATCTAATTTACACTAAAGGACATAAGCTAGACCCACTTTAAATACTTTAGAAGCTATACCTTTTAAGTTATTATAAAACATAGCAAGAAATATTGAACACTGAATAGTGATAATAATAAATAAATAAATAAGAGTAAAATTGGTGCAACTCTTACCTTCTTTTAATAATATGATGGTCCACTTTGTTTAGTTTGCTGTCAATACATTCCGTTAATTCAGTTAAATCAGCATGAAGTCCACATACCCAGCCTGTAGAATATCTGCTGACAAGCCAAGTATCACCACTTGGCGTTTTACAATTACAGCGTCTTCTGACAAAACAGTAACATGTTTTGCCCACTAAACCATCTTTAACTAGACGACGTTCTAGAAGTGTACCGGCAGTTTTCTGAATATGGATGAAGACGAGCACAGACACATTACTTGAATTATCTCTCGTATATGTCATCAAATGCTTAGTTGTTTTTGTAGTTGGAACAGCATACAGAAAACCTGTATGGTCATTCTGATTATGGATACAGCTTCTTAGTAAGCATGTCGGACTATGAGGCGACAATACATAAAATAGCAATACGATCCCGACGATTAGTCCACACATGCAAAATAACTTATCTTCCTTCATGTATGAACCACATAAATAATCTGATGAAGATCAGACGTCAATTACGGATCACTACACGGAATTTAAAACTGAGCTTCAAAAATCCACCCTGGCATAATTTGAAATTCTATAAAGCCACTATTTTCAAACAAACGGATTTTCTGAAAAATCTAAAACAGAAAACACAAGTGATTCATTCAACAAAATAACTGTGGCATGTATTGTCAAACAGCAGACGAGTAATACCTTTCACTTTAAACGAATACGGAAGTTTTCAGTAGGTAGAACGTGGATTTAGCCTATGAAATCCAGAGACCAAGTTCATGCGTTTTTCTGGATATGAGCATATTTATTGAGACTACATGAGTTAGTCACCTGATACAGGTTAAGTAGCATCGAAATCCGTGGTATTGTTTACTGATTGAGTGGTCAAATTAACACATATGTAAACATACCACACTTATGAATATCCATATATGACTGCAAAACACGTTAACCTTTGCAGATAATCACCAAGTCCAAAAATTGTTACTTGATATGCTTACCCATTATCACACGTACAAACGTTTCAAGTTCAAACGTGCGTTATAGTATATATGATACGATGTGTACAGCTTATTGGAAAAAGATTAGAATAAAGTCTGGATATGATGGTAAGGTAGACTGTCTTTTCAGAAATGCTATCATATTCAGACAAAAATGTGAGCAATATTTGAAACAAATAAAGGTATTTTCCCATCTGATTTCGTATTTGGCTGTTACTTGGATTATATGCTTGTGCAACAGACAATAGCGCAGAATCACAAACAATATACTTGCACGACTATATGCTAGCATCTAGTGAGAAGCCAAGGCTACGACAATGCAAACATATGTAATACCCAACCCGACCAGATAGTTATAGCTATATAATAGTATTGCTTTAGAAATACTTCCCCAAGCTTACAAGTTTGGGGAATTCTGCGGAAATCCCCAAAGTCAAATGACATTGATCAAGATTAAAGGGGAATTTTGGGGTTTTTGTGCCAACTTCCCAAAGTTCACTGTAGCGGCTTCCCCGAAATTGGGTGCTCGGGCCTGAGGGGATTTATGTAAATTACCTGAAAACTTAAAACATGTCATGTTTAGTGTCTAGTTTGAAGTTACGCTTTGTGTTAAGGAAAAGTGTGATAAAATCTGGAAGAGAAAGGAACAAACTAAAAACTGCCAGGAGGTCGCAGCCAAGGGGTTTCGAACCCTCTGGGCTTTAAAAAGGACATTCACTAAGTTAGATACTGTCATGTTCACCACTGTATACACATCCTTAGTGATAACTAAGCTAGAGAACTGCTCTCAGGCTGAAAGCCCGTTTAAAAGGTGACTCGGACATGCTAAAAAAAGTACGGAGGGCAGCTACCCATGTAATTCCGGAACTCCGGGGTTTATCATACAAAGGGTGGTTAGAAAAACTGGACCTCTTTACTCTGTCCTACCGCAGACTAAGGGGAGATCTAATTTTGATGTACAGAATACTGAGAAATGATTTCGGACCTAACTTATTCTCTGTATTTCTTCCCACTAGATCGAGACACCTTAGAGGACATAGCAGGCGAGTAGAAAAGTCAAGAACGAATAAAATACCCGTGGCATACAGGTTTTCACACCGAGTCATCACTACTTAGAACCTGCTGCCTGAAGCAGTGGTGTCCGCACCTTCAAATGACTCTTTCAAGAGAAAACTGAACACTTACAGAAGCATACTAGAAAAGGAATAAAATAGGCCGTAGGCCTTCTGTCCTTACTACACAAATCTGAATCTGACTCAGTAAATACATAAGTTCTGCTTAGATTTAAAAACGATGGCGACCAACAGCGATTAGAAACAACACCGAGGTAGGATCAATACGATCTGAAAATCGGAAATGAGAGCTAGTCGAATTCGACCACTGCATGTGTACAATATGAATCAGAAACATATTTTGAGAAGTACGGTAGAAACCTGTGACAACAGTCAACCAAAATCACAAATCTTTTTTTAAGTGTCTTGTGAAAGTAATGGATGAAGTGTTACGCAATAACAGTACAGAGAAAGAAACTAGAAACCACAAAACAAATGAGGGCGCGAAAACACCGTACTTTTTGGATCATCATACAGTCCTTAAGACATTCAATAAACAATATCCTTTGTACTTATGTCGAGCTAATATAAACTAAATGACTGTTTTTTACTCACTTCTTGTTGTTGTGGTATAATTACAGGTGTTCATTAGGGTGCTTCATTCACCTATCTGTATTGAATCTAGTGAGTTTGGTCATTATTTGTGGGTCTATTTAGTGGTTAGATGTGACACCTCATAGGGTTGTATTTGATATGGTTATTAATTTTTCCCATGGAATTACATTATATGATGGCGTTTTAATGCCGTGTGTCCGGCCGTGTTGCCCTCCATTCCTGAAGCTACCTTGTGCTATAATAAATAAATTGGTGATAGACTGGAAAAGCCAAACAAAGTAACTTTTAGGTAAATCTCGTGTCTTTAAAGTTGTTTAAAAGGTTCCAGTGCGCTCTAGTTAATTCTAGTGTTATTGAAACTTACGGACCAAAACTGCTGTTTTAACTTTAATTGAATTTATTTAAATTAAAATATTCGTCAAGTGTGTCGTTTTTCTCAGAAGTAATTTGTCATCGGAACTTTTGAGTTTATTGGTTGTTTTGTATTTGTTTGCACTTTTCTAGGTCGAACAATCTGCAATTTCGCACTTTTTCCCAGTCATCAGTTTCTTTCGTCTACGGGTAGTGTTTTTGTTTTGTTTCCTTTTGAAAACTTCTGACTGATGAATTGACAATGCAAAAAAAGAAACTGACAATGCCCAGGTTGTCGATACCCCATGGAAAGTGGCGTACAGTGAGGTGAGTGCAACTTTTGCTTCTACGAACTACTTAGCAACAGTAGTTGCATGTGGTTGTGTCAGTAATACTGCTCGGTCGCAAACCGGTTGCTATCTGAAGCCATTGCATTAGTGAATGCTGCTAGAAGGAGTATAAGCATGTATATTTGAGACATATCAGACATTATCCGCTCGGTCGATGTACAAATTGATGGGAATTTACCCCAAATAAGCTCAGAGTCGATTGACTTACATGGGTGAAAAGAGGAAGGACGGCCGATGAATAGGTCTGTTGGAAACAAAAACTCAAGAGAGGAAGTTTTCTGTGTCCCGCCCTCCAAGTGGTAGCGGGCAGAAAACACCTAGCAAGCCTTACCACAAGGTTGCGTGTGCTTCTAGCAGAGGAAACAACGACTTGACCACCCAAGTCATTGAAAACCATTCAAAATCCAACACTGTGAAAAGAAACTGCAGTTGATGAATACGCACATATCAAGAATATGAAGCTACCTGTTGTTACCAAAGAGAAGCCAGTTCCTTCAAATTTGCTGATAAATCAGAGACTGATAGTAATGACAGGTCAGTCTTCTTTCATGAAGCCAAGTAGAGTCAAAACTCAGAACTAAAAACTCGTTTTGAACATGAAGTCTAATTGATATAACCGCTACCAAACCAGCTAATGCTTCAAGATATAGCCGAAGTCACCTTGCCACAAAGTTATAGACCAGGTTTCCAAATGGGCTTTAAACAAGATCAAACCAGGCTGTTCAATGTAGTATTTAATTCTCCTAATGAGAGGGACCTAATACTATATAATAGACACAATCTAAAAGGGTTTGGAAATTTTGGCCGCAGAGACTACCTGCTCGCGGAGCGTATAAATAAACGAGAAGCTGAAAAAGAACCAAAACTTCGATTAGATAATGACGAAAACGACCTGAAAATTGTAAATTTTCGTGTAGTCAGCCTTCAACATAGCATGATACCAAAGCCACTTAAATGGTCTTCGGATCTGCCACATGAATGCCCTGAGCTCGCTCAACTAGGTGTTCAGATAAACCTACCTAGCTGGATGAAATCACCTTCACAGGAATGTGCCTGACGCATACTGTAGACTGCATGGAACCTGATTTTAATAGTTTCACGTTCGTTAGAGCCAGCAGAATCCAGAAAGTTAAAGAGTAGCTCTGTTCATTAGAAATACTATCCTGTTTAATCTTATTGATAACGTATCCCATCAAAGTAGGATACATGGATTAGTTACCGTTTGAAATGCGGGGGAAAAGAGCTGCTGATTGGTTTGGTCTTCAGCAGTTCAAATAGTGGGGTGAATGAGGCCTTGTTAGAGAGCCTCAACACTTGGTCATCAGTTGGTTGATGTTTAATTTTAGGAGATTTTAATGCACCTATAGTATACTGGAGTAATCTAAGGATAAATTTGTCAGATAATTCCTCCGAACAGAAACTAGTTGATACGGTCACCACATCTGCTCTAGTGCAACTTTTGACAGAAGCAACTAGGTACAAATTGGACTCTAAACAATCTCTTTTGGATTTTATATCGACCCATTATGAGGATTACGTCACGAACTCCAATTATATACCACCCTTAGATAAAAGTGGCCGTGCCAGACTTCAATTTCCATATAGTTCTTAATAATCAGTATGTGTCAGCCTAAGTCAAACCAAATGTCTGGAAATCAAGTATGCAACATACTAAACACTCAGTATCATCAGTAGTTTGAACAACAGAGCCTTATTCCCCGAATGAAACGGCTTGGTATGCATTCCGAAATATGTACATCAACATCACTGTGTAGTGGCATTGAGCCATAACTACACAATCCCCGAAGCTAAATACGAGACAACTGGGAAAATAGACGTTCAATATTTAACGCGGAGAAAAACCCAACGATAGAGAGGGCGGAAACAATGAGTTGAATTAATTCGAATTGATCGGATGGCATGGCTCAGCCTTGCAGGCGTGGTTATCCTTGAATGTTATTATATGCCTTTCATCCATATTAAATGTGTTGTTCTATCTCTCGCCTAAGTGTGTTCTTCATCATATATGGATGATTGTTACGGTACGATGAGTTGGTGTGGATAATAATGAGACTTCCACCTAAGATCTTATAGATTAGGCAGTTACATCATGTCAAATCTACGATTTTAGGATTACGTCCATTATTAGAGCAGTACTAATATCATAGTAGACTATAGATCTACAACTGTACTGTGCATCCCCTGGACTATTCCAAGCGGTCCGAAGAACTACCAACTGTGGTACAGTAGGGAGTTTCGCACCCTTCCTCGTTAAGGGAGAACAATATGGGGAGAGTTAGGTTATTGGGTAGTGATGAGATAAATCCCAATACTTGGAAGCTCAATAGATGTGGGCCTAGACCCTCCGCAAGTCTAGAAGTTTGTATAGAGAAAGACTTGATAAGGAATCTATAGAATGACTTTACCGCTTATATTCGTACATAAACCAAAGGACTAAGAGAAGAGGAAACGTTCCAGCACTATAGAGAGACAGTAGTGTTTCATGATTAGTGGAGGACGACTATGGCAAGGCTCAGGTATTTTCAAACTACTTTAGCGGTGTATACACCGCAGAAACACCCTTTACTTTAGTTCATACAAGCCTTCACACATACACTGACACTTAAAGAACTCGACATGTTTGGCGTGCGAAGTAAACTCGATACAGGTAAATCCATGGAACCCGACGAAATACATCCTATGTTAATAAAGGAACGAATCCCTAAGGCATATGTTTTAATCTACCTGTATCCCGAAGGTCAATTACCGAAAAATTGGAAGAATGCTGTAGTAAATCCTGTCTTCAAAACAGATACAAAACATAAACCCGAGAACTATCGACTGGTAAGTTTAAATAACGTAGTTGTTAGGATTTTAGAAAATATTATTTGGAAGTAATTTTTAAAGTTTTTAGACAAAAAACAAGATTTTTTTTAAAAAGAAACATAACTTTAGAACATGTTATTCATATCTCACAAAATTATTAGCATTCCATGAAAGTTGGTGTGCATTTGAAGATCGAAATTTACCTATTGACGTAGCCTACATCGACTTTCAGCATACATTTTGACAAAGTTCCCCACAACCGGTTGCCATATATATGCTAAGTGATATCGGGGTTGGAGGCAGTTTAACAATATGAATAACAAACGTTCTAGTTGAGCGCCAACAAAGATTATAGATGGGCTCAAAGTTGTCTATCTAGGGAACTGCCTAATGATGCGTCTCGGAGTAAAGTTTTGGGGTTAGTGTTGTTCCTCTTTTATGTAAATGACCTTCCTTATCTCCTACCATAGTCGAATTTTTAATATACTGACGATACCAAGATATGGGTAACGATAAGAAGTCAAGGTGATAGTTTAAAGTTTCGAAGTGGACTGGAGTGGTTTAAAATCTGGCAGTGGCTAATAAGTGCTTCCAAGTGTATTGTGATGCATATTTGTTGCCAACGCATAGATGCACACATGGTGAACAAAAATGAGCTACTTGTTGCCCAAACATACAGTGACTTAAGAGTAGTCGCGAGCCACGACTTAAAAACTACTGCACACTGCCATGCGATAGTCGCCAACAGTTTTAGAACTTTATTAATATCACATGGAGCTTTTAGTTATGTCGATGATAAAACCTTTTTGACTTTGCATACATTATTCGTGCTTTCTAAGCTCGGGCACTGCGAACATGTGTCTAGCCCCTGCCTAAAAAGAAACAGTGAACTGTTAGAAGGAGTTCAAAGAACCGGAGCTAAGCTGACTAGCAAAATAACGAAGCAGAATTATGATACTTGATTATTTAGACTAAATCTATTTTCTTTGTCACATCGAAGAACCAGAGGCGACTTCATCAAAGTTTTTAAATTAATTAGTGATCAAGTTGCATCTGATTTGCCCTCAGTTTTGTTCTCTTATAAGACAGAAAATTTACGAAAACACCTCAAAAGAAATATACAAGCTCACAACAAATTACTAGTCACTTGACTGTCGACTTTTCCACCGAATCACCAGCGAATGAAATCCATCAACTCAATACGTGATTGAAGCTCGATATGTCGACGCTTTAAAAATAAACTGGATCAACTGTGAAACAACCACTACCAGAACTGGTACAGGCCAACTAGCCTTCTGTTCTTTTCAAAATGAAACTGATTTCAACTGTTTACTTAGTAGCATGTTGCGAACAAAAACAAAAGTGGCAGTAATGTGAAGTGAGCAGGAAGACATCCGAAAATTAA